GGGCCTCTTTTTTTTTTTTTTTCTTTTTTTTTTTTTTTTTTTTTTTTTTTTTTTTACCTGAAGTTGTAAAAAAGAGGACTGGAGTATTGCCTGTGCTCTGAAGTCCTGTTACTAAAAAGTAAACTGTGTTTCCTTTGAAAAATCAAAGATATGGAGCAGTGCAGGATCCAAGCTACTTGAGCCTCAATGTAAAATATAAGGAGCCTTGTTATATGCTGGTGCCACTATGTTTTATTAAGTCCAAAGTCAGCATATATATCAGGAAATATCTGAGCACTATGTGTCCCTCTGCTTACAAGGTTTATTGAGATGTTGATTTCATTTACCACATGGACTTAGCACTTCCCCGAACTCCTGAAAGTACCAGTACCTGCCTTAATGATGTCATTGAGCTTCAGTGGCCTGCCAACTGGCCTGACTAAACCCCACAGAGGACCTAGGTGTTCCCAGAAACAACAATGCAGATGAGCCGAAGCCCACCAATAAAGCAACCTGGGCTTTTACATTAACACTTGAATGTTATCAAGATGCATCTTTTTAGAAATTTAAGTTCACTGTTTGAACTCAATAATTGAAATAACATTGTAATCTAACTGATTGGAAGGCAGCTGATGTTATTTATAGCATTTAGAGCTTGACTTATTCAACTATTCCTTACTCCTCACTGAAGCTCTGCACTATAACTGGAGAAACTTCAGCCCCTTCTCAACCTTTTTAACCAATTGTTCTGTTATAATTAGGAACCAACCTATACTCTGTTCAATTTTACTACAAAAACGGGACATGAGTTCAAATATGGAATAAGTTGTATATTTGACTTTTTTTCAACTATGTACTCCAAAGTTGTTGTTTTTTCTTTTTCATAAGATCTTTCATTTTGCTTGTGCATTTTAGTCCTTAATGTTCCTGATTCGAGACTGGAGTTTTCCTTACGAACACGAATATGGACTAAAAGGAGGATGCAAGTTTCTTCGTAAAAGACTGGAGGTGAGAATGCTTTCAAAATGGATTGGTAAACATATGCTACTAAAATGCCTCAGCTGTAATCCCACTTAATTATCCCACTTAGAGCTAAGGTTGTGGAAGCTTAGTGTCACTGAGGAGGACTCGCCTTGATCTGCTGAGCCATTTAGACCAATGTTTACTCATTCAGTGATTACCATGGTTGGATTTCTCACAATTAGTGGTAGAATACTTTTTTTTTTTTTTTTTTTTTGGGTTAGGCTGAGTTTGGGTTTAAGTAAACTTCAGGAAAGCTCTCAAGTTTAATCTGACGTGAACATAAACAAAGATAAAAAGCCACCAAGGGATTAAGATTCCTATAGACCTTACTGGTCTTTTTTTTTTTTTCATAGATCATGCTCACTGTAGCATTTTTACTGTACTCTATAGTAGTTCAAGAGCTAAGCTTTTGGAGTCTTATTTCAGAAATGTGAGGGCTACAAAGCAAGGTAAACATTTCCATAACCGCTTTTCATCAGAGCTACTGTGTCTTAATCACTGCACTTTTCCTGACGTTTCCCTTCCTCCATAATTCATCAGTTTTTTTTGTGTTTTTTTTTGTTTAGTTTTATAGGAACAAAAATCAAACATGACAGAATAAGCCTCAATACTTCGTAGCCATTAGAGTCAAGCATAGCTTTTTCTACATTTCTCATGACAAATGTCTTTGTTTCCCACACTGCCATGGCATTGTTGGATGAGTTTGCCCTCTAGATGTACAAAATAGAAAATTTGTCACAAATGTGGATTGTAAAATGGATACTGTAGGAGTCCTGCATACAGTATTTATCCAGTGCATCACACTTTCGTCATTCCTCTGAGGCACTACAGAAGGAGTTCAGATAGGAGTAAACTTTGATCTGATACCCATTTTGTTTTACAATCACAGGTTAAAGCATGTCAACATGAAGAATTGCAGAATGTAAGGAGGCACATCGACTCCTGCTTCAAAAATATCGCCTGTTTCCTGCTGCCACATCCAGGCCTCAAGGTGTCAACCAACCCTCACTTTGATGGAAGGCTAATAGGTGGGGACAGGAACAATGATAACTTGTATTTAGAATGCAGAGTATTCATCAGAACAATAATCAGTTTTTTGTGTGTGAATTTCAGACATTGATAGCTGAGCTGGTGCCTCTGCTCCTGGCCCCCGATCGGTTGGTGGAAAAGGAGATCAGTGGAAGCAGAATCACATGCAAAGATCTGGTGGAGTATTTCAAGGTGAGGCGATAATCTGTCAGCCTGGTTTGGTCAGTTTTGCATACCAAACTCTAATGATTCCAATTTTGCATGTGCTCAGATCTAAGAACAAGTTCTGTCTCCACTGAGGGTTTTTCACATGGTTATGGATCGAAAAACTCCTGCTCAGCTTGTCTGAGAAAATCTTAAGATCCTGTCTGCCAACAGTCATTATTTTAAAGGAGGACATTCATCTTTTGACTGGACTTTTAATATTCAATTGAAAAAGATTTGAAAACGGGCATTTTTTTTTCTTTTCATTTTTACAGGCCTACATCAAGATTTACCAAGGTGATGAGCTTCCTCATCCAAAGTCCATGCTACAGGTCAGTTCCTACAAACCCCTGCATGTCTTTTCAAGCATATTTCCTAAGCTTTCCATTTCTATTCATGTTTGTCTTTAGGCTACAGCAGAGGCCAATAATCTGACGGCCGTGGCTGGAGCCAAAGAGTTGTACAGCAGGAACATGGAGCAGGTAGCTACTTTTCATTTATTACTGTCAACATGATTTAAAGTAGATCCTCATAGCCACAATAAAAGTCCAATAGCAAAATAATAAGGAATGGGCCATTTAACTATTTTAATTTTATTGTTCATGAAGCACCAAAGTTGATGCTCTGTTTCCGTTGTGGACACACGCTGCATTCTCACTTTTTAGTTTTTGAGATAAGAGAATATTTGCTTATGAAAGGGACCAAAATAGGTCTCTAACTATTAAGGAAATCATTTAGTAAGCGTAGTTAAATCACATAAATCTTTAAGACATGATGTTTGATGCTGTTCTACCAGTGACTGTGCTGCTTAGCAAGGGACATGGAAGTTGCCGCAGCTTTCTTTGGTAGCTGGCAGATATTTTGAAAATCTTGCAAAAATCTGTGAATAACACTAAATGATTTTAAATTCCCCTTAATCTAAAAACTATTGCAGCCTTGGGATGGAAGTAATCGCATCAGTCAGTTTGAAGCAGTCTTTTTTGCACCAGATTGTAGAACAACCTGTGGCTGCAACATGCAAATACACACAGGCTACCTGGTATCTGCTGCAAAAAACTACATTCTTAACTATATTAAGCTACAAAGTGTTTGAACAGATTTGGGTATATCATCTTTTAACAAAACGCCCTGCTCAATATCTGTGTTACAACCCACTGAATCAGAAGCAGATTAAACATTTGCCAGAACAATTTAATAGTTGGAACCACAGTGTTTCATCAACTGAGATTAGAGAGCCTGCTTCCTCGGTTCATGTAAACAATCTAATGCAGATTGTTTATATAATCTACTGCATGTCTCCTGGGTTTGAGGAAAGAGGATTCTTTTTTTATCTGATCCCGCATTTTATAACCTAAACTAAGACAAAAGGAGTTTTCACAGTTGCAGTGTTTTACTGATTTTCATTGTCGTCATCAAGTGTTCTATTCTAAATTGGAGGTAGATGGAAGATAAAATCAAACTACCAAAACATTTAAGACTGCACTTATTAGCTACATCACCCTAGTACTTTGAATCACCTTCTTCTGCCTCCAGATTTGCTGTAAATGTTTTAAGGTCAAGGTATTTTAAACCTTTCCTTGAGTTTTAGGTTCATATTGAAGTGTTTGCTGCATTGAGTTATTGTTTGTACATCCCATGATCCGATTCTTTCATTCCACAACATCCCAAAGGCTGCTGGAGTAAACTAATAACTACTGATGATTGAGTTTTATGAAGTGGTGCATAGTCCTTTTGGAAGTAGGAATGATCTTCATCTTGTTGTCTTTCAATGCTGCAGTGTTGCTGCCATGCAATGAGCTGAGGGGCTTAATTAGCAGTCGCAGGAATTGGGTGCCCCCTTCCTGCCTGTGTGCTTCCTTAGTCCCTCGGTGCTCAAGTGAGCAGCACAGTTTGTCCAAACAGGTCGTCTGTTACCTTTAGCCAGAGTGGCCTCAAGTTGGTTTGCTGAGCTGGCAGGGGTTGACGTTAAGGATTTTTACCACTTGCCCAGTATAATGTTTGATAAATATAGTTCCTGATATTCATTTTTGCATATATATCAATGAAACATATTTGTTTTTTTACTGTTTTTTGTAATCCAGTATTTTTTAAGTTTACAGGTTCCTTGTGTGTATATGCATGCGTCAGATAATGAATTTAAGCCGACATTACCGTGTTAACATGCTTTTCAATCCTTCCTGCACTTTCTTTTCAAACTAAACTTTGCTTTAAACTGTTGTGTGTTGGAAAAATATAAATTGAAATGTTAAAAATCTAAAAAAAAAACAGGTTAAAAACTTGAGATAAATCACAAGACAGAAGTCAATGTCACAAATGAATAACTTTTATTTTAGAGTCACCATATGTTCATACAAGATAATAATAATATAATGTAACTGTTCTAGAGAATCATTATACAGTGTTTCCACAGTCTTGCATAATTTCAGATTTCCCTGACTTTTAACTGACTCAGCAGCTTTTTCAAATCACGCGAGAATGTGTACAAAACAACAAAAATGGTGCCGGCAACGCTTCTGGGTCGTTTTCATCGAATGTCGGTGATTTTAAAGTAATTTTGAGTGATCTATTTTTTTTTTTTTGCGATCATTGCACTTGCCCGGCGGGCGAATGCAATGAAATTTGAACTCTCCCAAAAATAAAAACTACTTGCCCCGGGAGATGGGGCGATGGTTAACATCGAGCCCCGGCTGGGATATTTAAAGTTGTGCTTCAACAAACATGGGTTTTGTCTCATAGAAGGAACCATGAAAAGGAGAAAATAAGTCTGTATTGTCGGCGGGGGGTCTCCCTGCTCATTATTGCTCTGACCCATCCATGACGGAGAGGAAGGTCTGGTTAGTGGCTTATTTGATCTGTGGAGATCTGATAGTTTGATTGCTCTATTGCTATAACTCATATTTAAACTCTCAGGACTATTTAGTCCTTTGGGTGAGAGTTTATACCAATGTTTGGTTAAAATACTTTTACACATTTATAATCTTAGAACCTTTCAACTTCTAAGCTGTGGGATGAATAAGTGAGGGGGAACGTGGTAGTTTGGTTAATGCAGTTGAAAGCTCAGTTGGATGTACATCCTTGTTTATTTGCCCTCTTTTTATTATCCTGACAGGTTTGTGGAGGAGACCAGCCCTACATGGCACCCGCTGATCTGGAGCACTACCATGCGGCTTTCGCTGAAGACTCTGTGAAATATTTCCGCTCCATAAAGAAAATGGGTGGTGAGGAGTTCTGTCAGCGCTACCAGACCCAGCTGGAGTCAGAGATGGAGGAGGCGTTCGCCAACTTCTCCAAACACAACGAGGGCAAAAACATCTTCTATGCGGCTCGCACACCGGCAACACTATTTGTGGTCATGTTCTTCACCTACGTGCTGTCCGGAGTGACAGGCTTCATTGGCCTGAGCCTTTTTGCCAAACTGGCCAACCTGGTCTTGGGCGTGGCTCTGCTGCTCCTCTGCATCTGGGCGTATGTGAAATATTCAGGAGAGTTTCGGGAGGCAGGAATGTTGATAGACCAGTTGGCTGAAGCACTCTGGGAACAGGTGAGTTATCAGGGTGGAAGCTGGGAGGAGGGTTTGTTTGTTTGGATTTCACTGCAGAACAATTTTTAAGAATTTGAAGTGCAAATAACTGGATTATTTGGGGAGTATTTAAGTACAACTTTATGAAAAATGAATGCATCGATGTATGTTAGTAAATGAGAGATCTTTACCAATGCATTAAGAGCTCTGGAAATATAATATCTGCCTCAAAGGTGAAGCAAATTTACTGTGAATCCACTTCTGGCTCTTAGTTACCAGGTAACTTCCTGCAGGACAAAGATCAGTTTTCAAAATGTTACAACTTCCAACCGTTTCTCTTATGAAATCCTAAACTGTATTTTTTTTATGTTTGGATGAGGACTACTTTAACCTCTATTCTGGGATGGATCAATTCACCTCAGATGGCAAAGGTGTTAACACAATCACAAGGTTTCCCTCAGAAACACGTTTTTCTGAAGTATTGGAAGAGGTGGATGGAAAAAGCAAAATTTGAATTGCCTTACTACATTCTTGCAAAAAGGGTC